AAAAATTTCGAGTTAGCAAATCTCATATAGGATCACGTTCTGGTAGTCTAGTTCTTTGTGTTCTTTTTCTGTTTTATATTTGAATAATAAGATATTTGTTAAAGAATCAACAATTAAAGATGTGCATGCTTGATAAAGAGGCTGACAAAATTCGGGACTATTCCAATTGTTCCGTGGGACGGAACAAACGGGATTCTAAACTGTTTCGAAGGACTCTATATGTGCGACATCAACCAGCTATTGACTATTATATAATAAAGTTCGACAATATATCTGAATTATAAAATACACATTCATACTCCTGCAAACGTGAAGAAGGAAACAACCACACTCACATCCATACTCACCCACACCCACACATCCAGAAGACTTCATGAGACTTCAAAAGACTTTAAGAGACTTCATGGACCTTCAAAGCCGAAATCTCAGCTGTCGATCCCTCGTACTGTTATTCAACAACTTGATCTAACACAGATTTTATCTGAAACTGATGCACCTTACTTTGTATCTGAAGAAGTTATTATTTATTGAAAAATAAATTCATTTAAATTTTATGTAAATTTTTTATTTTAGCTTTCCAGTCTTTCACATTGTGCTCATCCAAGTATAGTTTATAGTGTTGTTGAAACTACAGCACAAATTCGACAATTATCTATCAATGATGTTGCTTCACAATTAAAAGAAAATGTTTATCATATTTATGGTGTTTAAATGATCAATTTGAATCTGTTGTTATTTTCATTGTGCTTGCCAGTGTGTCTTGTTAGTTTTGAAATGATCTAGTCTTTGTTTTGTATTTGAATTCTATTTATCCATTTTTCCTATTATAGTGTTTATTTTGCTAAAATAGTTTTTGTTTTTGAAGTGAACCATTCGAGTTCTTTCTATTATTAATATTTTGTATCAAATGTCAATATTAGCTGGGTGGATGTGGATAGAAAAAATACTCACACACACACATAGATACTTCATAGTTGAAACGAGCTCGTAAATAGCTCTCTAATAATGAAATGTATCCATTTTCCATTTGGCAATCAGAAAGAACATATTTATTGAAGCATATACTTTTCGATAACACATCAATTATTGCTAAACAGAAAGAATTCCTCTGTGTTAAATCAATTGTTTAGTACTATTATCTGTCGACTGATTGAGATTCTCTATAATTTACGATACATATTCATGATCATAGTTCAATTAGTTGGTTTCTTTGTTTGTCTTATTTTTGCTTTTTCCCACGGTATCAAGTTTGCATCAGTCAAGTGTATCTATCAATTA